CAGAATGAGACAAGGACACAGACAAGGGATAGATGACGTAGTTATGTCATGAAGCACACAGAAGAGTCTGAGAAGGTAGACCACCGTTCAGTACACTGCTGAAACCTTTACCTTTACCTTTTTTTGGCTATAATTGTGGGTGGGTATATTAGGGTCCTTTGAAGGGACACTGCTTGCCTGAATGTTGCTTGCCCTGGCTTGTGTGACTGGAAGATAGAGACACTTGTAAAACCAAAGTCCTTTGCCTTCACCCAAGTTGCTTTCAGCTGTGGCCCAAAGCACTGCCATCCATCGGTGTTGGTGAAACACAGAACAATTATAAAACTTGTCCAGAAATCCAAATGAAGTCATATGGTCTGAGTCTGTTATATGCAGGAGGGGAGGTGTGTTGGTCTCATCCTGTGGTGTGTGGAATTGCAGGGGGCTGTGATTTTGCATTCCATTAATTAGGTGCACAATGAGTTGTGCAGTTGAGTGATGCCAACGCAGTGCAGTTGTGCATTTGCAGGCAGGGCGGGTTGCACGGCTGCAAACGTCTGAATCCTGTCACTGCCTTTAATAGCTCCCTTCTGCTTTAGATGGAGCAGTAACTGGAAGAAGCAGTGTATTTCCTTAGTTTCCCTCCTAGAGATCCCCAAGTGTGCTGCTCAGGTTAGACTTGGAGCAAATGAGGGGATGAGGTTATGGAAATGAGCAGCACCTACCCTATAGATAGGATGCTTCAGGCAAGAGAAGGCTTCAGGCAAGAGAAGGCTACAGACCCCCACAAGGAAGGAGGATTTGGGTTAGGGGCCAGCAGGCAGTCCCTGGAGCGTAGCCCAGATTGACAGGGGGCCCAATAGGGAAGAGTGTGGGTTCTGGAGCCAGGCAGAGCTGGGTTTGAACCCTAGTGCCTTGGGCAAGTCACTTAACCTTTATCAGCTCAGTCTTCTCTTCTGTAAAGTGGGGATGGTAACAGCACTCACTTTGAGGGGACCATGGGGAAGACTACGCAAGATCATGGGTATTGGGTGCTGAGCCAACTCTGTCTTGGCTGATGGGTTGCTGTGTGTCTACGGAGGAAGTCCTAACTAGCAAGTTCATGTTTTGAGGGGAAATGAAGTTGTGTTGGAAAGAAACTTATTTGGGCACAGGCTCCCTAACCTTGGTGCGGCCTCTTTTATGTAGGGCAGCCTAAGGAAGCTAATGCTGGGATAAGCTGACCTGGGTGGGCTCAGGGCAGTGGGGGACAGATGGCAACCTCCCATGTGATTGGGAGACCCTATGTCCATCTCTGCTTACTCCAGTTGGGCCACATGTCTCTCTTAGCATCCGCAGGCATTTTAGTGTATGCGAATGAGACCCCCTTCTTCCCTAACACGGAGGCATGCCTCTGTCCACTGCTGTGCATTTCTGTTCCCTTGTGCGAGTTTATTTATGTATGTTCGTTTATAGACACATATGTAATTTCTTACATGGTTCATGAAAATGTGGGCATGTGTGTGTTTTCCACCAGGCTGCGATCTTTGGGTGAAAGGGGATGTGGAATGCCATGCATCGGGCAGGCAGGCTGTCTTCTGGGTAGTGTATATACTTGAAGAGGTGATCAAATGGGAGCAGGTGCATGTCCACCAGTGCCAGGGAGCAGGGAGAACTCAAGCTAGGCCTGAGTGTGTTAGAGTCCATGGTCTCGAGGCACAGGCGCGAATATAGACTTTTGCCCAAAGGGCCCCGTAGGCATCACTGTGCATTCTGTTGGCAAATGGAGGGGTTATACGGAACCTATCTCCAGGGGTGGCCTGGGGCCCAAGGCGAGGGAGACTGAGGCTGGGAGTCCTTACACCCTCAGGCTGTGTGGGAGTTGCTGCTCAGAACCCTCACAAGCCCTTCGACGAGGAGCCTGGTCTCCCAATCTCGGGATCTTGCCCCCGTGTTCTACCTGCCTGTCTTTCGGGATCTCTCAGTGTCTGTCTGTCTCTCATTTGCTCCAGTGGAGGTATACACTGATCCTGCCCACATTAGAGGAGGTGGAGGTTTGCATCTGGTCTGGACTTTAAGAGGTATGGGGGCCAGAGGGAACATGGTGTGGGGGTCAGGGGACATAGCTGGGGGGTGGCGGTTAGAGACTACTCAGAGAGTGGGTTCCCAAGGGCCAACAAGCGGACAAGGAGGAGGTGGCTCAGGCTTTCCCTGGGAAACCAAGAGGCTAACAGTCTCAGGGCCTGGATCCCTTCCTCCACGGGCCGCTGCTGGGTTTAGGGGCTGAGGCCCTGGTGGCCTGAAGGGTCAGGCACTCAGTGGTTGGGGGGCACTTTTTCCAGCCCTTGGAAAAACAAAGAGCAGATCGGGTAGTAAAACAAAAGCAAAGGAGACCTGGAAGCACCTGACAGCCCTAATTCATCACGGCCCAAGTTTTTTCCTGTGTTCCCATTATATTTGTTTGTAAAAGTGGAAATCAATTTTGAAGGTAATTTTCTGGAAAGAATGGAAGGGAGGTGGGAGGGCCGGATAAGGCAGAGATGGTAAAAGGAAAAATTTAGGCCAGGCACAGCCCAGGGGCAGCTCTTGGCAAGGTGAAAGAAAATTGCATATTCAATCTCCATCCATGAATCTCCCTCACTGCTGCCCGCCTCCTGCTTGAAAACAATGAAGGCTTTTTCTCAACGCTGGGCAGGGCCTCAGTATCAGCCTCACTTTAACTTCAGGGTCATTAATTCCCTGATTATTGAAGGAGAAGAGAGGGTTGCAGCATCGTCAATTCCAAAGGCACCCCCCATGTGATCAGGCTCTGGCTGGGGTACAGTGGGGGGCAGCCAGGGTGGGGCGAGGTGTTGTTTCAGAAGAGCAAAGGGGTGGGGAGGGAGGAAATGGGGAGCCAACTGGACTGGGGGGAAGGAAGCCAGGAGGAGGGTGAAAGAAGGCAGTCATTACTGCATACCTCTGTTGTGTTGTTATTGCAAATTAAAAGTAGCATGTTCCACTCCACAGCTATCTTTGGGGAGGGAGGGGCACCGAGGGAGGTGGGGGATCTTATCATTGCTTCTTCAGCAGACCAGCCGTGGTGTCACCGTGTGAGGTGACATTTGAATTTACAATTCCGCTGAGAAAAGCCATTAATTCACAAATTAACATTTCTCCCTCTCCCTCTCTCTTTAACACTCTCTCCCTCTCTCACATGGATGTGCAGGCAATTGAAAAGACAAAGGAAATAGCCTTAAGGAAGAGACTTTACTGCTAGTCTGTCTGTGCTGAGATTGCTCCCCCTGCTTCCAGATAGATAAACCAATTACCTGAGCAGCTCTGCTCCTGGCCGCCCGCGATCGCCTCCTTTTGTAGGCTGCCTCTATGGCTGGATTACACTCCGAGTATCTCATTAATGCAAACCAGGCATGCCCTGGTCACCAGTCTCTCTTCCCGGCTCTCCTTCTGGAGAGGTACCAGGAGGAGTGCTGGTTTCAGAAAAGGCAGGCAAGGAGGACCCAGGGGAGAGGAGAGGCTGCCACTGTCCGGCTGCCTGGCCCTGGGACTTTGGAGGAGGCTGATGGAGGAAGTCTGCAGGTGAGGGCGCCCTGGTAGGCTTGCATGGGCAGACAGAGGCAGACAGGAGCCAGAGCCTGACTCTCTCAGCATCTGTCCTCTGTGGTCTTTTGGTCCAGATGCAGGGGACTGGCAGAAACAGAGAGGGATCTGAGCACTCGCTGCATGAGAAGAGCTTCGGAAAATTTCGCTGAGTACACATCATTTTATTGGGACAGGGTTCAGCTTGAAGGAGCTGGGAGGGGCGCTGGAAGGGCCCAGAAGACACAGTGAGGTTGCACTATGTTGAGTAAACAAAATGAGGTTGCACTGATTCTAGCACTTGGGCACAGTTATGTCTGTTCATCACCTAATGCGCGCGTGCGCACACACACACACACCCACCCACCCAACCCCCCCGGAGCCATTAGATTCCCTTTTTAGAGAATCCCCACCCAGGAGTGTGGACCTGGGGTGGAATGCCCTTGGATCTCAGAAGTGAGCTTACGTCATGAGCAGGAAATCACAGAGCCTCTTTCTGCTTTCGCTTTCCTCTGGGCCCTGGCCAGGCTCTGTAAGAAGGCATATTGGCAGAGGGAAGCCAAGCAGAGTTTGAGTTTCTCTAAGGAGAGATGCTCTGTGGATTATTGCTGGAATTATATGTTTCTACATGCATTATACTACCTGGCACAGGTGAGGTCATAGACTGCTTCTCATGAAGCAGGTTCTATGAAAGTCCAGAAACCAAATCTAGAGTAAGGTAATCATCCATCTAGACAAGTGCCCGGGTTTAACTGCATTAACAAAGCTCAACCTGTGTTCATTTTCCAACAAATATTCAAACCTGGCTAATGTCCACTCCAGTCCAAGGAACAGCTAAGGTTCAAAGGTCAGCATTTGCCAAGACACCAAAAAAATCCACTTACGAACACACGTTCATTGTTATGATTATTCTTCCCAGTAACCTGAAATCAGACCATTCATACTGAGGGGAGAATTTTTCTATCTTAGTTGGATTATATGTTTTAGCCAAACTCTGGCCAATGTTGGCCATGAGCCTGTTGAACACTGACCGTGTCATTTTATGGAGGCAGGTATAGGTTATGTCGATGTTTTATGAAGAACTTTACCCAAGGTAAATGGCCCCTTGGACTTACTTTTTTCTGTGGGGAAGGACCAGGGTTTAGCCATGGCAGTATGTAGCTGACTGGGTGCATGAATTTATACATAAGTCCCTGGGTTTATACCAGAGACTATGGCTAAATCATTAACTACCTACCTGAGGTTCTCCGCCAGTTCATGCCGTTTTGGATAGAGTTATAATTGCTTGTTTGAGGAAATATGTTGTGATTTAGCACAAAAGAGTATTTTTTTCATAAAGTGCCAAAAAGATAGAATAGCTAGGTCGACCCCATGCCCCAGGAGAGAACATACAGATTTGCAGTAGAGTGGGCTGTCTATGTCCCTCCACCACCGGAAGTGGGGGTAGGTGTAGCAGAGTATTACGACTTTCTTGGCAAAGGCCTCAGGTCGTGCTCCCGCCCTGTTTCTGTACACTCCTGTGCACCTGTATGTTCACCCATCTTGTCAGGCTATGTCTCCAGATCCTAGTCTTCCCTTGGAAACTACCTTCCAGCCCTGCAGGTAGGCATCATTCTCCTTCCCCCACCCAGCAAGGGCACCAAGCGAGAAATCCGCTGCCTCAGCGCTGCCCTTCTCCAAGCACAGGCTCTGGACAGGAGGGAGGAGCCAGGCGCTGAGGCTGTCCCCCAGTTCCCCAGGCCCTGCTGCTTGTGGGCTTACCTCCCTGGGCACCTCCTCTCCTATGGGCCAGTAGACCGCTGAGAAGGGCAGGGCCTTGGGGGACCCTCAGAAAAAGGGTTTGGAAAGAAGACAGGCTGGAGAGACCCAGGATTATTGCCGCCTGCCAGAAGAATGGGTCCCATCAGCCTCCCTGACCACTGTGGCTGCACGAGGAGCCCTGGACCCCCTCCTCTGCCTGCTTCCCCAGGGCCATGGTAGCTGGAAGGCTTTCCAGGACCCTCCCCACTCTGCCCCATGGGGGTGAAAAGGCAAGGAGGGTTGGGGGAGGGTTGGGAGAGAGCTGGGAGACATCACGAGTCTCAGAGCTGAGTTGCAGCAGAGCCAGTAATTCAAACCATCCTGACCCTTCGGTGAACTCGAACCTGCTGACCTTGACAGCACCAGACAAGGGAGGCCTCACAAACCTCAACCTTTATGGAGGCCTTGCCTTTTCTCCCTTCCTTCTTCGGAGCCCTGTGGCCCAGCCTTCAGGTGTCTCCTAATTTGGCCGTCCCCATGAAATGTCAGCATCCCTCCCTCCCCGAGGTGCCTGCTTGCCTGCCTCAAAGCACCCTTTGTGCTCATCTCCACCAGAGGCAAGCGCGTGGGCATCTCACAGGGGTCCTTGCAGGGCTGGGCTGAGGCTTTCTCCTTTAAACAGAGCTGTGCACCTTGCCCGTTCTCCTTCTACCCCAGGCTTCACCTTTTTCAGGAGTACTGGCTATAGAGTGTGTGCACATGCATGCGTGCATGCGTGTGTGCGCGCGTGTGTGTGTGTCTTGGGTATGCACAGGGGCCAAGATAAAATGTGATCGAGACAGAGTGGACAAGGGGAGGGAAGAAAAGCCTGAGGAAAGCTGCCCAGGAACCTGCATTAAAGTAAATGTAGTTTATGAAGTTTATGCTTTCCTCCCGGGGAGAGCTGGATTCCATCCAGCAGCCTCCCAGAGCCTGCCAAATGGCTCCTGAAGCAGAAAGTGCAGGCAGGAGCATGGGCAGGCCAGTGACAGAGGGAGAGACGCGTGTACGCACACACACGCGCACACACGCACACACTTCCCCCCCCCCCCACCGGCTTACAAAGATCTCCCTAGGCCCCAGCAGACTTTGAAGACTGGAATGGAGGGATGCGGACGGTATGTTTGTTAGGAGTGTCTCCAGGAGCTTCCCTTTCCTTCCCTCTTCCCTCCCAACCCTGCCTCCATCTCATTTGTCATTGCGGACACCTGGGTGAACTATTGGCATGGTAAGCTGGGCCGAGGGCAGTGTGGACCACTGAGACAACTAGCTTGTGGAAGCTGCTCTAGGTGAGGGGTAGTGTGGGTAGTCTTGGGGTGGTAGGTATGAGGTCTGGGTAGTAAAAGGGATCAGAATGAGGTCTGCCAGGAACCTGCCCTTTTCTGATGCTGGAGATCCATTTTTCTCTGGCACGTTGGTCAAAAGCAAGTAGGCACCTTGTAGCTAGTGAAGATAGCTGCTGGAATCTCTTAAGGAGAAACAATGAAAGACAGTATTTTCTTTTCTGGAAATTCAAAAGAAATAAATGGTTGACAAGGTTAGGATATGAGAACTCTTAGAGGGACTTATAAATGAGCTGGAATATCTGTCCTTATATACTCTTCTTCATGGGCGCAAGCCCATGAAGTGGGCCAGGATCCTTGACTTTAGAGGAAAGAGTTGTGTGGAGGACAAGAATGACCGGAAAGGGCAGTGACATGTGGCAAAGGGCTTTGCTCCAGCC